TGTCCGTGCAGAGCCCGATACGGGACTTGATCCCGAGACCCTGGGATCATGACCTGAGCTGAAATCAAGAGTTGGACACTCAACTGACTGAGCCACCCAGGCGCCCCTCCTAAAGTGTTTTCTAATGATAAGAAAACATTAATTTTAGGGAAAGTAATTTTTTTTGCTAATCTCTTTTATAAGAGATTAGAAAAAATTTATTAAAAAAATAAAGTTTTATTGTTTCCTAAGCATTAAAGTTAGAAGTTGTTGAGTACCCTTTTTTCTCTAGCACTCTAAGCAACTCTTGACATATAGTAGGTAGTCAACAAATACTTAATAAATTAATGAATTAATTTCAGAATATCAAATGAAACACTTGTAAAATACTTTTTTCTGGTTGGGAAAATGAAACTTTCTCATTTGAATAGTACTGATATTTGACATCAGAGATCTGACCACAGTCCTTTCAAGGTGCATGTTATTTTATCATCATATTTGAATATAAATTCAAATTAGTGTTTTTATATTTTAAGGTAAATGAGCATTTGAAAGACATTATGGAACAAGAACAGAAATTGAAAGAACATCACACAGTTGAAGCTCCAGGAGGTCAAAAGGTATATATTTCAAAGAAAATAAGGTGTCTTTATGAGACTATGTTCACATGTATGTGTTGTTTGGGAAATACATATATTAATTAATAGATATGTTCATTAAATTGTTTTTTGGTGGTGTTGTGTGCCCTAGAAAGCAGGTCATAAATACCAAGTGAGTAGAAGTGCAAAATGAAGGTTAATCGGGTAGAGGTATTTAGGAAAAATTGTTAATGATTAGAACTCAATTTGTGGAGTACTTGGCAGAAATAATGACTTTGCCTTTGGCAAAACGTATGAAACAACAGAAAACATTTTCAGTGTACCAGCCTTACAATGACTTCTCTTAAGACCAGCCTTTTAAATATATTCCAGTAATTGTAAGTTGTACATGTGGTTATTCTGTGAAGAAAGAAGCAACATTAATATGGATTCATTTTTTAAAAATTCGTGTGGCTTTTAGAGTTTCCTTCTTTGAAAATTTGTGTTTTTGTTATAATGAGAGCTCTTTAATCATGTTGTGTAGCATTTGAATTGAGGTGTAAGAAATTATAATTATTCAGCAACCTTATTTTCCAATTTGGATTATTTAAAGTTTATTAATATACAGTTTTTCTATCCATTTTGGGCTAATGCTCCTGGTCACTGATACCTCTGTAAGAAGAGAAAGAGAAAAAAGGAAGGAAAGGGAAAGCTATTTTGTGTATTATCAACTTCAACAGAAAACTTTGTGGGACACCACCTAAAATTTTGTCAGAACTTGATGTTTCGGCATCACAGTGAATTCCCTCATTTAGCTTACTGACTAGCTCCTGAAAATACTATCCGTACTTGATTCTTCATCCTAACTTTGTTGATGTCCTTTCCCCCTAAAGGTACATGAGAATGGAAATATTTTTTTTCATCACCCAGATCACATACTCCATTTCCCTGCCTTCTACCAGCTTCTGCCTCTCTCTTCCCTCCTGCTTCCTCACCCTCCCCCACCTCCCGCCATTGCCGTCCTTCCCTATTAGTTTCCCTCCTTTTCTCTTTCTCATCCCGTAGGAGTTGAAACCTCTGCCCCCAGTTTTGTGCCTGGAACTAATTGGGAGTAAGTTAGATGGCATCATCCTAAATTATAATACTAATGGCCTTTTTCCATGATTATTTAAATGATTAAATCCTATAGTATTGCATACACATCATGAACTAAATAGGGATTTTATATGCTGGCATAGGACCCAATAAACATTATTTCTGTTGGGGGAAAAATGCCATTTGTATTCCGAACAGAGTAAGTAAGCCTTACTTTTCTTAAAAGCTATATGGAATCTGGACACCACTTGTATTATACCTCTTTGACTTTTTTAAAACTATTTTTTAAGTTTATTTATTTATTTTGAGAGAGAGAGAGAGAGAGCATGAGTAGGGGAGGGGCAGAGAGATGGAGAGAGAGAGAGAGAGAGAGAGAGAGAGAATCCCAAGCAGGCTCTGCACTGTCAGCACAGAGCCTGACGAGGGGCTTGAACCCACAAACCATGAGATTGTGACCTGAGCCGAAACCAAGAGTTGGATGCTCAACCAACTGAACCACCCGGACGCCACTACCACTTTGGTGTTATAATAGCACTTCCCCATGCAATTTCACATATTAACATCACAACCAATATTTGTTAAGTGAATGACTGAGTAAATGAAGGAATGAATGTGATTCATTTTTAAATATGTGGATTAATACATATTTTTATCTTAGCACAACACATGTTTTTATTTTCAAATGAATTTTCTTTTTTTTCCCATTGATAGAATCTCTGTGAAATCTATGTGAAATTGACAATGTCAATTTTACATAGTCTTACTGCAGAGTAGGTATCATCATCATGAAGAATCACTCTGTGACAGCATAAACTAGGGAAAGCAGTCTCTATTACCTAACAGTGAGATTTTTGGCATTTGAACTAGTTGATTTGGCTGGAAATTTAATCATTTCATTCTTGATTTTTATTCCTACAAAAGCGACATTCTTGACCCTGTCCTGTTTTTAGGGATGAGAGAATGACTTGCTCTTCCTTATTGCTATACGATTGGTAGGAAGTTGCCATGCCTTCCACCTACTTAAGCTAGCTTGCCTAGTGACCCAGATGCTAGCCATGTTTTCTATGATTTATCCAGCTATAGACAGAGCCCATGGTGTTGGATGATATTTCTTACTTTTTGTCCTTGCCCACCTATTCCCAACTTAGATGTTCAATAAAATCTATTTTATGAAACTTTTTTTTTACAACCATCTTCCTGGTAAAATATATACATATGTTGAGGGATACTTGCACTGTATATTGTTAATGCTGGATGACAAGTAGAATTCCAAAGCTATTTCTTTAGATTGTTAAATCTGCTAATGGTGTATTTCTGACTGTTGGATTGGTTGGTGTCCTTAAAAGGAAGGCATTTTAAGTAGTGCCATGTTTTAGGAAAATGTTTTGTTTAAAAAGTTTACTAATGTTATTTTCTCTTTTTTTTTTTTCAAGTTGCTCTTTTGCTTCTAATATTCATTTTTATTCTAAAGAGGATGCCTAGTTAAATGTGAATTTCAGATAAACAAAAATTTTTTGGTGTAGTTGCATGAACATCTCATATTTTTATTTGCTAAATCTGACAACCCTACATAAAAGATCTCTAAAGTTTATAGCCATGACATTAAGCCCAACATTCATTCTCTTAAGGGGTTTGTACAGAGTGCTATGGCAAAATGAGTATAGACAAAGTAGAATAGTTCTGCCACTGATTAAATTCATGACTTTTGCCGAGGCACTTGACCTCTCTGGGCCTCATTTTCTTTATCTGCAAAAATTTTAAAGTTGAATTAAATGGCTTCTAAATTCTGTGACTAAAATGATTTTCAAATTTTTCCTTCTCAGTATATTAGTAAAAGTAAGGAATTCAAAGCAAAAGGTTAGTGAAAATATTAAGCAGTTGGTTATCATAAAGTTTCATATATGTATATGTTACTTGTAGTTTTATGATAACTGTGGAATACCTAAGAAGATTTTCTAGAAGATGTGGGACTTGAACATGGCCTTAGTAGGTTTTATGATATTTGCAAAGGAGGACACTAGGTCATAGGGAATAACATAAGTTACAAGTAAAATGTATATTTAGGAATTGGTAAGTAGACCATTTGGATATTCATGGGTTTATATTCCTAAATTTACAGTAGTAGCTCTATAGAGAGTAAAGTTTGTTTCTCACAGTATTAAAAGATACATGTCTACTCGGTGCAACATTCTTCACTTTTAAAACAGAAATACTGGTGAGATATTTTATAGAAGGGTGGGAACTGGGTTAAGGAATTGCCTTTGGAGAATAGAAATTAACTGAGTTCTAGTTGCTTTTCATTTAAAGGTATAGTCTCAAAATAGACCACACTTTCCCCAGTGAGACAGTAGGTGAATGCTTCTACATCTTTGCTTGATTACCTCAGCCTATGTGAATTTCCACTTTGACCCGAGTTCCTTAGCAATTAAAAACTATGACCAACTTTTAAAATTCTTTTTATTCAAACAGTACTTTAGATACTATTGGAAAGAAATTTTTTTAAATAACATCAACTTTTTAAAAGTTTTGTTAAATCCAGTTGTTTTTGTTGTTTGTTTTCTAAGTAAGCTCTAAAGCTCTATGTCCAATGTGGGGCTTGAACTCACAACCCCAAGATCAAGCAAGAGTCACATGCTTTACTGACTGAGCCAGCCAGGCACCCCAGAAGAAAGAGTCTAAAGTCAAATACATTTGGGAAATGCTGCCTTGTCTGTGCCCCTTTAAAAATGTTACAACCCATTTTAGTACATTGAAGGCCTACATAAGAAGCCTGTTTCTCAAATATATTTAATCTTTGACCTCTTCTGTGAATGATTTCTACTAACATCCTGTGGAATTACTGTTATTTGCAGCATGCTTTGGGGAACATTGATTTGTAACCTATAATTTTGTAATTGATGAAGTTGCCTATTTCATATATAAATATATAAAACATTTAAAGTTCTAATATAGTACATCATTCTCAGATACATCATTTGATTTGATTCTTAGACTTATTTACCTGGTTTCTTTTTCATACCATTATTTCAGTCAAATAATTTTGAAGACTTCACCTGCCTAAATTAGATCATTTTTAAGGAATTCTACCCCTAAGATTCTATTCTATAATCATAGTTTATTCTTGTGTGGACTTCTGTGGTCAATGCTGATTCTTTCTTTATACCTATTGCCAATATACTATTTTTCTTTCATAGTCATTTACTTGTGGTTACTGGTAAAGCAACTTCCCAATCTAGAATGTGCCTCTGTTGTATTATCAACCTATTTAGTATAGTTAAATGAGGAACTTAGCATTTTAAACATATTTAAAATTCAGAGATGGTACCGTGATATTTTTTCTCCAAGCAATATTTTACAAAGATGGCTTGCCCTAGAGAGATGTAAATATGAGTTAGGTATGCTAGCACTATGATTTTCATCTTTGCCTAAGAACATTGTAGAACAGATTTCTTTAACAGATATATAGGTGTTGTTGGATACATTTGGATACAGACTCAACAAAGATTTGGACTGGTATAGACTTAATATAACATTTTTTTTTAATGTTTATTTTTGAGAGAGGGAGAGAGAGGGAGAGGAAGAGAGAGAGAGAGAGAGAGAGACGAGTGTGGGCAGAGGAGGGACAGAGAGAGAGAGGAGACACAGAATCCAAAGCAGACTTCAGGCTGTCTGCGCAGAGCTTGACATGGAGCTCAAACTCTCGAACTGTGAGATCATGACGTGAGCTGAAGTTAGGTGCTTAACTGACTGAGCCACCCGGGTGCCCCCTTAATGTAGCTTTTTAAGAACATTTATTTTGAAATATTTCAGACTTCTGAAAGGTTTCAAGATAGAAAAGAACCCTGTATACTCTTGACCCAGATTCATCAGTCTAACATTTTGCCACATTAATTTTCTCTCTATATAGGGGCGCCTGGGTGGCGCAGTCGGTTAAGCGTCCGTCTTCAGCCAGGTCACGATCTCACGGTCCGTGAGTTCGAGCCCCGCGTCAGGCTCTGGGCTAATGGCTCGGAGCCTGGAGCCTGTTTCCGATTCTGTGTCTCCCTCTCTCTCTGCCCCTCCCCCGTTCATGCTCTGTCTCTCTCTGTCCCAAAAATAAATAAACGTTGAAAAAAAAAAAAATTTTTTTCTCTCTCTCTATATGTGTGTGTATGCAGGTATGTATGTGTGTGTATACACACACACACATATACATCATACACAAACACATATGTATGTAAATGTTTCTGAAACATTTGAAAGAGGGTTGCACACATCATATCCCATTACCCCTTCGTACTTCAAGGTGTATTTCTTAAGAACAAGGCTGTTTGTTTATATAATCAAAGTACAAGTGATTTAATGTCAGTATCATACTTTGATCAGACTTAGAGCCTATATTCCACTTTCGTCACTTGTCCCAGTTGCATTCAATTGTACATTATAATTTTTTTTCAGTACAAGATCATGTCATGTATTTAGTTGTCATATCTATAGTCTTTAGACAGGACTAGTTCTTTAGCTATTCTTTTTTGCTCGTGACCTTGACATTTTTAAAGAAATCCCTCCATTTGTTTTCTTCTGATATTTCCTCATAATTAAATTGAGGGGTTGTTTTTTTTAGACTGGAATGCTATATAAGTTGTGTCCTTCTCACAGTATTATATCAAGAGGCACATGATACCCATTTGCCCCTACTAGGTGATGTTGATTTTCATTAGTTGGTTAAGATATTGTCTGGTTTCTTAACTTCATGGTTATTATTTTTACTTTTACAGTAAGTAATTTGAGATGACATACTTTGATATTTACATTTGACCCTTGAAAAATGCAGGATCTTAGGGGTGCCAACCACCCATGCAGTCAGAAATCAGATTATAACTTTTGACTGCCCAGAAATTTGGCCACTAATAGCCTACTCTTGACTGGAAGCCTTACTGATAACATGAACAGTTCATTAACACAATATTTTGTATGTTATATGTGTTTTATACTGAATACTTATGATAAAGTAAGCTAGAGAAAAAATGTTATTAAGAAAATCATAAGGAAGAGAAAATACATTTCCAAGATGGTACTGTATTTATTAGAAAAACCCATGTGGAAGTGACCTGTGCAGTTTCAAGCCTGTATTGTTCAAGGTCAACTGTACTAATTTTAATTTGCTCAATACTACAATATGTATATAATAGTTTCAGAGTCTCTATGTGTATACCAATGTGAAAAAGAAACCCACTAAGGAGTTTAAGATTTGTTTGCAATTCTTTTTTCTTCTTCTTTTTTGGTTTGTTTTACCCTTATAATGCTTTTACATGTTTCCCAGTTTTATTGAAATATAATTGACATATGGCACTGCATATTGGTTAACATCCGTCATCTCATGTAGTACAATATAATTCTTCTTTCTTTAGATTGATAATATATGGTCAAAATACTGTGTTCTGAAGTTGCTTGGGTTATGCCTTTGAAATATATTTGGGTTTATTGGTTTCTGTTTTCATTTAGTTGTAGTGACTTTTTTGCACCATCCTGTTGATTTAATTTTGTTTTTTTGAATATATAGAACATTATATGATTTCCAAATTATATTAATTCCAAAAGTCAAAACTCAACAAAAGTGATAATCAGAAAGGTATTACTCCCTCCCTGTATCTCTTTTACCTCTTTCCTACCCCTCACTCCCTGCTAACCCTTGTAGGTAACCAGTTGGTTACCTACATATATATATATATGTATCACAGTATTATATATTGTTTTATATACAGGTAACAGATATATAACAGATATATATACTGTTTTATATATATATATGTTTTTTCTCCTCTAACAAAATATATTTAATCTTTTGCAATTTGTGTTGTTCATTAACAGTATATCCTGGAAATTACTCCATACAGTCCCTAGATACCTTCCTCATCCTTTTTTTGCAGCAGCACAGTACTCTGTTGTGTGTATGTACCATAGTTTATTCTACGACTTTCCTATGGGCATTTAAGTGTTTTCTAGTATCTTGCAATTACAAATAATACTACAAAGAATAATGTCCTTCTGTATTCTTGGATTTTCAGGGTAAATACCCTAGGACTTGGATTGCTAGATTGGAAGGTAAATGCATTTGTAGTCTTGGTAGCTAGTGCCAAAGTGTCCAAGGGGTTTGTACCATTTTACACTCCTGTTGGCAATGTAGCATAGCTCTCAGACGTACAAAAGAGAAGACATTTCGGTCTCACGAGTCATGAGGTGACAGGTCACAGCTCTAACTCCTTAAAGAATTCCAACTTTGTGAGGTCTCCAGGAAAGGCCCGGTCAAACCAGCATCCTCCCAAAGTGGCTTGAGAACACCTAGAAGAAGTTCAGGAATTATCCCAAATCCCAGAGAGGTTATAGATACCCGGAGGATGACATAGAGCTATTTGGGGAGTATTAATGGCAAGTCCTAAAACAACTAACCAGGATTTACGATGAGTTATACATATGTGTGTTGAAGACAGTGCAAAGGAATGCTGGAAATGGGAACTATTCCAGAAAATCTGAACTGCCCAGGTTGGCCCCTGTCATCAGTAAGGACTTAATAAAAATGAGAAATTTTTCACTTGTTGTCTGTGGCCTTTTAAAATGTTTTGGTCTCATAATTACATCTTAAAACAGGATTTGAAGTTGCTGTTTGCCTAGTTCTCTGAAAAGTAAAAGGAGGGGAAGTTGCTATTCACTTCAGAAATACAGTTGTCCTTCAGCAAGGAAATTTTGCTGTATATTTGAACTTATTGAAGTATGAGTTTATAACCATGAATAGCATAGATATTTATTTGTTCTTTTAGTATATTTACTTTTTTTTTTAGTCATATTTCCTTCAAATAGCCAATCCATATGGTTTTCCTGTTCCCTTGAATACGATCGCTATCACTAAATTAGGTCAGTGGAGAGGTGGGAAGAAGGCCAGAGCAGTCTGAATTAGTGAAAAGTCACATTGAATATTTTACAAGATATATGGAGTAACTTGAACCTTTACACCTCTCCTGTTTTGAATAATTGGCAATAAATTGCTTTTTATCAGTTTCCGTATAATGGATTTTTCTAGTCTCAAAAAGAAGAAAACCCGTTTTTGAAGTTTCTGTTATCCGTTGGAATCCTGACACATTATCAGTGGCTTCCTTCTTTTTGCTTCTGCTCTTATACTTTTTATGGTTATCATAACTGCAGTTGCCAAAGACTTCTGGTTAAATGACAGATTAAAATATGTGCAACAAAATTGTTAAGGTTATTCTTCCTGATGCAATAAGAAAAACTTACTGGACATGTTCTCTCTTTATGGAAAGTTGGAATTTTTCTGAGTCTTGAGATGACATTTTTTCTGATTCTTGAAGTTCTTGAAAATACTTTATTCATATTATTTTCCAAATAGTCTTATTTTTACAGTTAATTTTATGTAGGAAAAACTTTTTTTTTTTTTAATTTTATTTTTAAGTAATCTCTACATCTAGTGTGGGGCCTGAACTCACAATCCCGAGATCAAGAGTCACACTGACTGAGCCAGCCAGGAGCCCCTGTAGGATAAACTTTTTACATAAAAGTTGAATATGAATTTTAATTCAGACCCCATTTAGTTTGGTTCATTCAACAAATGTTTATTCAGGGCTGTTAGAAATTGTGCTAGGAAATACAGAGTTAAACAATCACAAATTATTAATTCATATTAACTGAAATTATGGGTTTATTGTATTTATCATTTTGAAGAAATAAAATTATATTCTTTGGGATACCTCCAGATAGTAAAATTAATAACATTTATATTCTCTTTATGTAAGTAGCTACTTGCCCTAGAGACTCTGTAAAAATCTTAGTAAGAATTGCCAACTAGTCTTCCGTCCATTAATTAAATGAAATTGTCATATAGTTGAAAGAAACTATGTTTTTCAAGTCTGCAATGCGGTTTGCTTTATTCGTATATTTACTGATACAGTCTTTCTTCTTTTCCCTTGGGAAAGAAACACTGCCTGATCAGACTTGCTTTACTAATGTTTAAGAATGATAATGATTGCAAATCTAGCTCTAGAATCTTTCTACTTGCCTTTTTGTGATACAGTTTTATTTTTTATTTTTATTTTATTTTTAATGTTTATTTATTTACTGAGAGAGAGAGAGAGAAGAAGGAGGAGGAGAGAGAATCCCAAGCAGACTCTGCACTGTCAGTACAGAGCCCGATGCAGGGCTCAAACTCATGAACTGTGAGATCATGACCTAAGCCAAAATCAGAAGTCAGATGCTTAACTGACTGAGCCACCCACGTGCCCCTGGATTTATTTTTTAATGTGATGTGTGATTCTAGAACTCAGAAATAAAATTCTTTGCTGCCAAAGTATACAGAATATCCTGAATATCTGAAAAATGAATTTTTGTATTGGGAGAGGAGATGAGGGGAGAAGGTGGAGGTCTTTATTAGTAGGAACCTGTATATTTAAAGTATTAATTAACATTTAAAAAATACTATGAGAACTATAACTTGGAACTCCACTTTCAGAAACTTTACTGTCACTTGTTAATTAAAAACCATTCTGATGAATTTTCCCTTTACCTTTTGCTTTCCCTTTTTTCCCTGCTGCTTCCTCTGAAGTCTCCTTCCAAATGGTTTTGGAAACTGGTTCCAGTAAGTTTGCCCAACTACTTCAACTTGCTCTCCAGAAGTGTAATTACAGAATGGTATTGTTTATGTCTTGCTGGTATAATCATTTCCTGTAATTCTGTTAGTTGCTGCATAGAGATTGGATTTTATGGTATTTGATCATAATGTAAAATAAAGAGATAAAAAAATCTGGCCAAAATTTGGATTAGAAGCTTTAAAAATAGTTTAAGGTAACCATTATTTTGGTAGTCCTACTGATATTTACAGACTGTCGGTAAATAGGTGTAAAAAAAATGTATGGATAGAGATTCTCATTAGTTTTAATAACTTTAGGAGAAAAGTGAGTATGAATTGTATATGTAAATTTTTTGTATTTTAAAATATTTTTGAAGGAATCATTTACTTTCAGCCTGAGTTGTAGGGTACATTTTTTGTTTGATAAAAAGTGACTTATTCCCTGTGGTCCTACCAGTATTGGACCTAAACTGTATTCAGTTCTGATTTGACCTGAAGGGTGATTCTTTCAGGATTAAATCTGGGTGGATAGACCACGTAAGAAGTATTTTATGCCCTCAGAAATAAAAATATAACTTAGAAATACAATATAATGTTGAAAGAGAAAATATGATGCCCTTTTAAATGCTAAATTTCTCAGTTTGTAGAAAGAATACAGAATGTCTCCATGCAGTAACTTTATAAAGCCATATAGTAAGATAAAGTGCAAAAGACTCTATGATTCTCATGAACTGCAAATGGGAGTTGTACAGGACTTGAGGATTAAGTTGATTTACCTGATACATCTTCTAGGATATAAGCTTCAGGAAAATGTTTTAGCATACCACTCATAAATCCCTGATAGTCTATTCTAAACCATTGGCATTTAGTGCTAAAGCCTCACAAGGCTTTGTGTGTGTGCCTTGTACAGAAGTGCTACTTGGCAGCAAGCAGTAGGACAAGTTACACAATTCACTTCTTTGTTTCATGACCCTGAGCGCTCGACTCAGTCCAGTTCAGACTGTAGGCTGAAAACAAGCTACTCCTAGAGATCTGGGAAGTTTGGGAATGAGCCCAGCCAGTTTGGAGGATTTCTGAGAGGGAGACTATTTTGTTTCTAGCTGGCCAGAGAAAGGGGTGTAAGGATCTGGAACTGTGGCTTACTTACCAAATGTGAGAAGGGTGGCTTAAGGCTAGAAGATGCTACTGGTTGATTTCTTCTTTCTTTCTCTCCTCTCCCTTCACCTCCTCTCTCCTCTTTTTTCATGGTTGAATTTTAAACTGTCTACTAGCAGCAGAGTAAGGGAGTTTTCTAAGGATATTAAAATCAATAATCCATTGAAGAATTTATATAATGCATGTATGTAAATTTTTTCTGAATATAGGTACTCTGAGTTTGGAACATACCATTCAGTGTGGATGCCTGGTGTGCACTGATTAAAAAGAACAAGCTCTCTGAAAATCTTCAAAAGGAAAAAATGTTCCATGAATCTTGGGTAGACAGAAATAGGAATAAATAATTCTTCATTAATGCATATACTTTGCTGAGGGATATCACTTCACCACCTAATAGTAAATATTCTTTTTCAGTAAATTATTTTTCTGTTCTTATTCTCACAAAAGTATTTTATTTCATAATTATATTTGAATTATAAAATGTAGAGATGACCAGTTCAGATGGAGTTAGAAGAAAAATTAGTTTTGGTTACTTTTTAAAAAACTTAAAATATCAGTAACCAATATAATCATACATTTTCCTAATAAAGTACTTCGGTATGCATCCTCAAGTCATCAGCATTATTCTCTTGGCTTTAGGAGAGCTAATGCTAGTAGCAGGCCAGCCTTTCGTGATTGCTGGCTATGTGCCCAGCAGTGTGCATGGCACTTTACGGGCGTCACCGTACTTCCTCCTTCAGTGATCCTGTGAAATAGGTACTATTATTATCCCCATTTTACCTATGGGGAAACTGAGAAATGAGAGTTTAAATGATTTGTCCAAGATCACAGAGCCAGTAAATGTCAGAAACAGGATTTGAACCTAGGTCATCTGACTCAAGGGCTTGTTCTTGTCACCACTGAGTTCTATAGCACATCTCGGTTTTTAGAAAACTCTTGTAAAGTTGTATCTGGTCACACCAGGCACTCTTTGGAAAACAAAGATTTCTTCTGTTTTTCTGAGGGGGAACAGAAATCCTTACATTTGCTCTGTCATTGAAGAAAACCTCACTTGGGAGGGTTTTTTCAGTTCCACAGTTACTACACTTCATTTATGTTATCTTAACATTCAGATACCAAGCCAGAATATCTTGGTGATATTCCAGTTCCTCAAAGTGATATTTCTTATTGCCAAATTTCCTGTAGGAATAGTATCATATTCTTAGACCTGCTCCCCAATTTTGAAAATTCTTACAATTCTGCTCAAGTGGCACTCTTGCTCTTCCCATAAAATAGCTTGTGGTCTAAATTCTAGCATTAAAATAAATGCATTTTATTATCTGCAAAAGGACAGAACTGACAATTTGGATACAAAGTGTTCAGAATCTATTTTGTGATGCTTTTATATTTAAATGTTTAGGCTAAATGTCATTTCATATAAATTGGCAATATCATGTTATATTAAGTACTTTGGAACTATAATGCTGTTGCTCTGTATTTTACTTTGGTAATATTTGGTATTATTTAGAAAAGAAGGATGTTGGTGAGTAGTTTTTATTTCTCTGGATTTGTATTACTGATATAATCTACAATACTGGTTTTTTTTCCTGTATGTTGGCTGCTAGTTACTGATTTTCATCTCTCTCTCTCTTTTTTTTTTTTATTGTAGGCTCGTTATAGGAAGGAGCAAACATTGCTCAAGCAATTGCCTTGCATTCCATTGGTAGAAAATTTGTTGAAAGATGGTACAGATGGCTGTGCTTTAGCTGCTCTTATTCATTTTTATTGTCCCGGTGTGGTCAGATTAGAGGGTAAGTGTTCCAGTGAAATCTTGCTGGACTACAGAAAGATGGTAACAGATATTAAGACAACAGTAACAGTATTTAGTAAGTAACGAAGGCTCTTAAAGAACCTCCTTACGTATCACCCTGAGGAAGATAGTTGAGTAGGTGTGGTAGTGCTAAGTCTCTTTGTGGAGTGACCACTGTGTTTGTATGAGTGTGTAAACCAGATTCCACGTAATTGTGTGTTTGTTCTAAGCCACTAGTTACAAAATGAATATGAAATGTATAATATCAAATTAGCCCCAAGTCATCACCTTGCTCTTTTCCTATTTGAAGATATTTGTTTGAAAGAAACCATGTCTTTGGCCGATAGCCTGTATAATCTGCAGCTGATTCAAGAATTTTGCCAAGAATATTTGAACCAGTGTTGCCATTTTACCCTGGAAGACATGCTGTATGCTGCTTCATCCATAAAGGTAATTTGTTCTTGGGTTTTTTTGGGTGTTTTGCTTTAAGTTTTTGGAAAAAAAATATAACTAGATATATAAATGGCATAGTAAGGTTAGAAATTAACTGTAATATTAGTCAAAAGAGCTTTTGAAAAAAGTTTTATTTTTCTGCTTATTTTATGTCTCTGTGTGTGTGTGTGTGTGTGTGTGTGTGTGTGTGTGTGTGTGTTTAAATACACTGTTAGCTATAGGTTTCTTTTACAATATAAAGCTAAACTTAAAGTTATAGTACAAAATTGATCTATTGCCCTAATGTTAGCACAATGGAGGATAAGCCACTACATGTTTCTGAGTCTTAGGTAGATGCCAGTACAGCATAAAGGAGGGAGCATAAAGGAGGTTCTGGTCACTTTCACCGCTCAACAGGACCATGGAATATGTCCAGAAGAAGGAATCGTTCAGGTCCCAGGACTTGAGACAAAACCTAGGGAAAGAAAGAAGGGAAGGAAATGTGAAAATAGTCTGGAAATGAACCTTTTAAAAAGGACTTCAATTTCATGAGTGTGTGCTTTGCTTCAGAATATCATACACACACTGCCTGTGAGTCTCAGGCCACTGCTTACGGCCATTCTTTCAAGAACTATTTAGTGAGCACCTAGTAGTATTCTGGGTGCTTGGGATAATTAAGTGGACAAAACAAAGATCCCTGTTCCGGTGGAACTTGCTTTGTAGTAGTGAAGAGAGATGTGTGTCAGGCATAACTGCTTCTAAGTGAGTTAAAAAGCAGCCACTTGTCCCAGAATTTCCTGAGTGAGTTAAAAAGCAGCCACTTGTCCCAGAATTTCATGATGTGACACAATACCTCATTATTCCCAGCAGCCCATAGCTACAAAGTTCTTCTATGTCTTTTATAGACCTAAATTGACCACTTCTGTTTCAGGATTTTAGGAATAAATCATCTGATGATAGATTTTTTTTAAGTCTGGCTGAGAGGAACAGCTTTTTTATCATTCCAATCACAGCGTCAGCCTTAACAGAAACTGCTAATGGACCCCTCTTACCATAAGATTAGTGCCTTGGGGTTCTTTAAATTCTTATTCTCTGATACCTATTTTTTCTTTCACTCATTTCTGGATTACCACAGGTAGAAGATAGAGCCAATGGTAAAGGCATTTCCAAAATAAGCCACTATTTCTATTGACCAAAAATAGTGCCCACTCCCCACTATCTGATGCATCAGAATAGAAACGTTAATTTATTTTGATCAAAATGGAAGTTGGGGAATAACTATTTCCATATATATTTTGTTAATGCCTTTTCTTAAACTTGTCTGTTAAAAAATTTAAATACTACCCCTGTAATCACAAAGAAATCATATCATTAAATACATGGTGACATAAGATCAAGAACATTTGTTTAAGTTGTTTACCTTGGACTGCCAACAAATAACATGTAGCCCTGATGTTTAAATCAACTTGGGCATGATCCAGATATAAAGACATTTTCTTACATCAGGCATATTTAAAATATATAACTGACAGATACACCTGGCTAGAATCAAAAGGACAAGAAATAAGTGTTGGAGAGAATGTGGAGGAAATGGAACCCTTGTGCACTGTCGGTGGGAATGCAAATTGCAGCCACGGTGGAAAACAGTATAGAGGTTCCTCAAACAATAGATCTACCATACGATTCAGTAATTCCACTACTGGGTATTTAACCAAAGAAAATGAAAACACTCTGGGGCGCCTGGGTGGCTCAGTCGGTTGAGCATCCGACTTCGGCTCAGGTCATTATCTCACGGTTCATGGGTTTGAGCCCCACATCAGGCTCTGTGCTGACAGCCCAGAGCCTGGAGTCTGCTTCAGATTCTGTGTCTCCCCCTCTCTCTGCCCCTCCCCAGCTCATGTTCTGTCTCTCTCTGTCTCTCGAAAATAAACATTAAAAAAAAATTGTTAAGGGGCACCTGGGTGGCTCAGTCGGTTGAGCGTCCAACTTCAACTCAGGTCATGATCTCACAGTTCATGAGTTCGAGCCCCGTGTCGGGCTCTGTGCTGACAGCTCAGAGCCTGGAGCCTGCTTCGGATTCTGTGTCTCCCTCCCTCTCTGCCCCATCCCCACTCACGCTCTGTCTCTCTCTGTATTAAAAAAAATTGTTAAAAAAGAAAATGAAAACCCTAATCCAAAAAGAAATATGCACCTTATATTTGTTGCAGCATTATTTACAATAGCCAAGATTTGGAAGCAGCCCAAATGTCTGTCGATAGATGACTGGATAAAGATGAGGTGTGTACACACACACACACACACACACACACACGTTACTCAGCCATAAAAATTAATGAGATCTTGCCATTTGCAACAACATGGATAGACCCAGAGGGTATAGTGCTAAATGAAATAAAAAAGAGAAACACAAGTACCATATGGCCTCACTCATATGTGGAAGTTAAGAAACAAAACAAATGAACAAAGAAAAAAAGAGACAAAAAACCCCCAGACTCTTAGATACAGAGAACAAACTAGTGGTTGCCAGAGGGAAGGTAGGTGGAAGGATGGGTAAAATAAAGGGGCTTAAAAAAAAAAAAAAAAGTAACCGCAGAGAAGGCTTTGGTCACTTTCCGTATTCTTTGGTAAATTATTAGAATCACAACTTTGACTTACATTGAATATTTGAAGACTTCAAACCTTTAAGGGATTGCTTGGTCTATGATACTGGGCACCTTGTTACTTGGTTAACTTTAATAACAAGTGTTTATGAGAATAAAGGGAGTGAGCACTCTCTTCCCCTCTTGGTGGATGTATAAACTGGTATGGTCCTTTTAGACACCAGTGTGCCATTGTCTAATCAAATTTGAAATGCACAGAAGTCATGTATGAGGATTGTTTATGGTGAATAGTTAGAAACAATTCATCTTAGGAAGGACATAATTAAAATATTTTGTCATATAGCCAAGCTGGTTAAAAGGAAGGAGGTGTAGGTATTTTTTATTGATTCAGAAAGCCCTCCAAGATGTTATTAAAGTACCATAGTATGATGTAATTTATATATTAAAAACAATTTTTTTGTATTTGTATGCAAATCAATGCATGGAAAAAGGTCAATTAGAAAGATAAACACAAAACTGTTAACAGTGATTTCTTCTTTTTTTTTTTTTAATTTTTTTTTTCAACGTTTTATTTATTTTTGGGACAGAGAGAGACAGAGCATGAACGGGGGAGGGGCAGAGAGAGAGGGAGACACAGAGTCGGAAACAGGCTCCAGGCTCTGAGCCATCAGCCCAGAGCCCGATGCGGGGCTCTAACTCCCGGACCGTGAGATCGTGACCTGGCTGAAGTCGGACGCTTAACCGACTGCGCCACCCAGGCGCCCCAACAGTGATTTCTTCTGAGTGTGATTAGAATTTAGGAGAGAGTAGTTAAAGCATAATTTAAATTCTGTGTTTTTTGTATCTTAATTTTTTAGCATTGTTTACATTGTTTAAGAATGTTAATATACAGTTGTCTGTCTTTTTTTTTAAATTTTTTTTTTAACGTTTATTTTATTTTTGAGACAGAGAGAGAGCATGAATGGGAGAGGGTCAGGGAGAGGGAGACACAGAATCTAAAACAGGCTCCAGGCTCTGAGCTGTCAGCACAGAGCCCGACGCGGGGCTCGAACTCACGGACCGTGAGATCATGACCCGAGCCGAAGTTGGCCGCTTAACCGACTGAGCCACCCAGGCGCCCCTACAGTTGTCTGTCTTAACTAAAAGGAAAGAAAAGCTTTTAAGTGAAATTAATTTGGTATCATGCCTGGAATATGGTAACAGATTTATTGCTGTTTAATTATCATAAATCCAGAAAGAAATGATTTTTTTTAAGCTCTAGTTACTGGGAAAACTGTCTCTTACTATGCTGACATCTTGTGGTCAAACATGGTATCTTCCAAAAAAAATACCAAAGTATTTTTTCCCCTGAGCTTTATTGAATATAATTGACATACAATATTGTATAAGTTTAAAGTGTGCAAAATGATTACCGCTGAGGATTAGTTAACACCTCCACCACGTAACATAATTACCATTTCTTTTTTGTGGTGATCTACTCTTTCAGCAACTTTTGAGTATACAATATAGTATCATTAACTATAATCATTAGATTCCCAGTTATTCACTTAGAGTTGGAAGTTTTTACCCTTTGACCAAAATTTCCCCATTTCCCCAACCGCCCAGTCCCTGGTAAATACCACTCTACTCTCTGTTTCTGAGTTCAGGTTTTTTAGATTCTGCAGATAAGTGAAATCATACAGAATTTGTCTTTCTTTGTCTGACTTATTTACTTAGCATAATGCCCTCACGGTACATCAGTGTTGTTGCAAATGGCAGGATTTCCTTCTTTCTCATGGCTGAATAATATCCCACTGTATATATGCATCACAGTCTCTCTACCCATTGATCTGATATTGACAGACATTTAGGCTGTTTCCATATATATTATATATGTATGTATGTATGTATCTTGGCTATTGTGAATAATGCTGCAATGAACACAGGAATACAGATTTTCTCTTCAAGATCCTGGTTTCCGTTTCTTCAGGTAAATACTCAAAAGTAGAATTGCTAGACCCATATGGTAGTTCTATTTTTAATTTTTTGAGGAATTGCCACACTGCATCCCATAGTGGCTGTACCAGTTTACATTCCCACCAACAATGTACAAGGGTTCCCTTTCCTCCACATCCTTGCCAAGATAAGATTATTCTTGTCTTTTTGATGATAGCCATTCTGACAAGTGTGAGGTAGTTATCTCCTTGTGGCTTTGATTTGCATTTCTCCCATGTTTAGTGATGCTGAACACCAGAGTCCTTAAAATACTAATTTCTTATCAATTGACAATTTAGTTGAACACTTAGTGCTTTTCCAAAAGATCTAGACAGCTTTCAGTTAACTATACACTAGTAGAGTGGAACCTAGGACCAATACTTTAAATATAATTTTGTACTTTGGCTTTAGAAAATACCCTGTGGAGATAAGTGTAAAGAAAAACTGTAAATCATGGTGATCTTATTCGCAGAGATATTGCCTGTCAACAGTTTGGTATTTTGCCAGGTGACCTTTTGTTATATATTTATTCATTCAATAAATATTTATTGGCCATCTATTATGTACCAGGCACTGGTTTTGTTTGTTGGTTGGTTTTTATTGTTTTTGTTTTGTTTTGTTTTGGGGAGAGAGAGCACATGATCAGGGAAAGGGCATGGAGACAATCCCGAGCAGGCTTCATGTTCAGAGTGAAGCCTGATGTGGGGCTCCATCTCACAACCATGAGATCATGACCTGAGCCAAAATCAAGAGTCCTAAGCCTAACTAGCTGAGCCCCCAGGCGCCCCCCAGGCGCTGTTTTAAAAACTGAAGATGTAATGATGAACATGAGCTTTGTCCTTCTAGACTTTATAGTCTGATAGTTTGAGGAACCCTGGAAAATACAGTATTAGATGAAGCTGGAGAAATTAAAAAGGGACCCAATCAAGTACCTTCTTAAAGCCCATAACCAGTTTCCCAAGAGCAGTGGAAGTAGAGGAAGGGGTGTTATACTTTGAAAAGTTTGTTTGGCTTAATAGAAAGCTAGTGTGTTCTAAACAAGAGGTGGAAACAGTTTGAATCAGAGTAATTATGATGAATATGGAGAGGAGTAGGTGGATTCCAAAAATATTTAGGATATGCAAAATTTGCAGGCTTTGGTGATGAACTGGATATGTGGAGGGAGAAAGAAGGAGGCATCAAGGAGGACTCCTAGATTTCTGGCTTGCATACTGGGATAGTGATGCCATTCAGTGAGATAAGACTGGAATAAGGTCAGATTTGTGGGGAAGATCACTAGTTCAGTTCTGGACATTTGAGGTGCCTTTGGAATATCCAAGAGAATGCTCTGTAGACCACTGCATATGTAAGTACAGATGGGAGTTATTTGGTAGCTGATGGGCGTGGATGGCAGTTTACAAAGAGGGGAGACATCAGGAATATCAGATGCTGCTGAGAGGTCAAGTAAGATGAAGACTGAAAAATCTGTTTGATTTAGCAACATATGTAAATCATTGGTGACTTGAGCAAATGCTGTTTTGGAGGAATGATGCACCTGAAGGCCAGACTGGAGTGGATTAGGGAGCAGGAAGGATGAAAGGAGATCGTTAGCACAGGCCTACCATAGAGAAGTGTGTGAAGAGGTAAGAAGATGGGAGTAAGGAAAAACCGGAGAATGGGGAGTTACTGAGTGAAGGTTTTCTTTTGTTTTTCATGTGGGAGATTTGAGCATGTTTAAAAGCCAAGTAGGAAGGATTCAGCTGAGGGGAAGGATAAATATATAGGAGAAAGAAATATAATTAAGAATGTAAAGTTTTTGAGGAGGTAAGCAGGGATGGGATCCAACACATAGCCTTAGGGATTATGAGCATTCTCATTTCCTTTCTAAAAATATCAAATTTTAATGACTGCTTAAAATAGTATATATTGTATATGTTTGAATATTCTGGGAATTTATAGTTCAAAGCAAATGCTGAAAGTAGGAAACTTACCAAATTCTCTTCACCAATCATGCCTGATATTGTATAACACTCCAAACTCCTGCATTCAACCACCTACCTGACAAGTCCACTTAAATGTCTAATGAACATCTAAGAGTATTAACTCAGAATTCCTTCCACTACCTATTTATCCCAATCTTTCCCATTTCATTAAATGGGAAACTATAAGTTACTGAAGACAAAAACCTAAGTCACCCTTGACTCTTCTCTTTCTCTCGCTTCCTACACACATAGTAGCCTTCTGGAACTGTCAGGTAAGAGACGGATATTTGAAAGTCACCAGCTTAAATATGAGAAAACAGAGAATGGATGAACTCTAAATGACAGTATATAGAACTCTGAGGATTATTCATAATTAACAGGTAGGAGGAGGGCAAGGCATTGGAAAACACCGATATTTCCAATGATAATTTTGAAAACTGAAATTTAATATGAAATAAGATCTCATTAAATATTAATCAGTAGTAACAATAAGATGCCAAATACCCACAATTTAAAGGCATACTATTTTAAGTATTATAAAAACAGATTTTGTATAGTGCTATATTTTAAACTTGCCAGATGCCTACAATTAAAATAACTTTTCATGGTTTATAGCTTTCAGGATATATACATCTTAAAATATAAGCTTGTAGTAGAAATGTGCTTTTGAGGACCCTCTTAGTCTTTTCTTGTATTTCTTATAATTTTAAGCTATTTTAAAAGTTACTCACGTTTTCAAATATAAATCATTAGAGGCAAATGACCTTGTTAACTTACTATTACCTTTTCAAAGTTAGGTAGATATATTATATAAATAACGTATTTCAAAATTAATAATTTTAACAATCTAGAATCTTTTTGTTATTTAGTACCTGAATTACTGTTGAGTTTAGCATCATCAAGCCAACAGATACCTGATTAAGGTTTGGAGAAATTTCTAGGGATCTGGAAAGAGCTTAATTTTTTTTTTTTTTTTTTTTAAATGATAGACACTCTTTGGTGTCAAAGGCTGTTTTTCTTTTTACCGACTTTGGATGAAGAGTATCTTACATATTAAAAGTTCTACACAGAGGTATCAATGCCTGCCACATAAATTGGACTGCAATCCTGGAAATGTAGAGAAGCAGCAAAGAGGTTTTGAATAGCTGTGATAAATTTTACCTAAAAGTGTTAATACTCTGTCCCAGACTTAATAACCTAGAGTAAATCTAGTCCAATGATGAATGAGATTTAAACCTGTGTTTTAATAAGTAAAACAATAAAATTATATTTATTGTTACTTTCTTGGTCAAGTTTTACTTATTTTTTTTTCTGATTTTCTTAACTCTCTTATGTAGAGTAATTATTTGGTGTTCATGGCAGAACTCTTCTGGTGGTTTGAAGTTGTGAAGCCATCATTTGTTCAGCCTCGTGTTGTTCGTCCACAAGGAGGTAGTAAGTGTTCCTGTAAACAAACAAAGTTTATATAACCTCACCTGGTTATTCTATTTGAGAGAATCCTATTATTGTTATAAAACAGGTAAATTTTCTGAGATACAGGTGATGTAGGAGAGAACGGCTCTGAATTTGAAGCCTTGTGTGGTGGAACTTTTAGCTTCAGCTGTTTGCCTACTTCTTGTTGTATCTTTTATCCCCATCTCTAGCTTTTATTCCCCGTTAGATTCTGAATTTTTAATATTGTTCCCTAGAATCCACTTAAATGATGGCTTGGCTTTAATCTAGAATTTGAATTTACCATTAAACCATAAAAAGGTTTATATATATATTATATATAAAGCCTGGTATGTTTTATGATTATTACAGTATCATGCTGTATTGATTGCACATAAGGAAACTAATACGGAATAAGAGGGTCACCGTAAAGATCCCTAGAAATAAAGAACAAAAAAAATCATTTTTCTAAACAAACAGATTTTCCATTGGCTTCCATTATGAAACCAGAGGTTTATTTCTATTGGGAAAAAGGAATCCTAAATTATAAGTTTAGTTCCACTAAAGAATTTTCTTCCAGGGATGCCTGGGTGGTGTCTGACTTCAGTTCAGGTCATGATCTTCCAATTCATGAATTCGAGCCCCCCGTCAGGCTCTGCTCACAGCTCAGAGCCTAGAGCCTGCTTCACATTCTGTCTCCCTCTCTCTCTCTCTGCCCTTCCCCCCTGCTTGTGCTCGTCTCTCTGTCTCTCAAAAATACATAAACAAAAAACAAATAAAAAGAACTTTCTTCCAGCATAACTATGGGACCAGTTCTTTCTGCTGCCAGTGGGTGTCCTGCCAAACACAAAACATGATTACTGTGCATCCCAGCTACCTAGCTCCTTTCCTTGGCTCCAGATTTTGGTATTTTTCTCGCCATTACCTTGTTTTCTTCCCTGTATCCTCCCTTCTAAGAAAATTAAAAGAAGGAGATCAAGAAAAAGGAAAAAAGATGGGAGAGGCATGTAACTCTAGTGAGTAGAATGAGCTTGCTTCCAGCTTTCCATCTCAGGCAAAATTCTGTGAAATACGCAATAAAAAGAGTATTTCATCTGTTCCATCTCTAAGCTGCTTAAGGCAGACTCTGAATATTAAGCCATCCTGTATCAAAGAATACCTACAGATAAACTGAGATCTTCCCTAAGGCCATGAAGTGAATTCAGGTGTCTTTAGTAATTATCATAACCAGTATTTGTACAACTTTTTTTTTTTTTAATTTTTTTTTCAACGTTTATTTATTTTTGGGACAGAGAGAGACAGAGCATGAACGGGGGAGGCGCAGAGAGAGAGGGAGACACAGAATCGGAAACAGGCTCCAGGCTCTAAGCCATCAGCCCAGAGCCCGACGCGGGGCTCGAACTCACGGACCGCGAGATCGTGACCTGGCTGAAGTCGGCCGCTTAACCGACTGCGCCACCCAGGCGCCCCAACTTTTTACAATTAATATAGAATTTTCACATACACTGCTTTCTGTGATTTTTTTTTTTTAATGTTTTATTTATTTTTGAGAGAGCACGCACAAGCAGGGGAGGGTCAGAGAGAGAGAGGGAGACACAGAATCCAAAGCCGGCTCCAGGCTTTAGGCAGTTGGTGCAGAGCCCAATGTGGGGCTCGAACTCACGAAATGTGAGATCATGACATTAAAGTGAACCGAAGTCAGATACTCAACCAACTGAGCCACCCAGGCCTGCGCCCCTGCTTTCTGTGATTTTTATCTGTGAAGCCCACTATTCAAAATACTCAACAGCTGTTACATTAGGTTTCAAAGGCAGAAAGTAAATGGAGTCTTCCCCCGAGTTATTTACAAAAATGTAAACTCTACCAATGGGTTTAATTATTGACCAGTGAAATTCTGTCTCCTGATTACCAAAATACCAGCTATTTCATAAAGGGACAAAAATGACTGTATGTAACAGATTCTATAAGAGCTTCAGCAAAATTAGACATTCAGATTTATTTTTTAAATATCTGTATTTATTTTATGTTAGGCCTCTTCCCTGCCCTACCCCCATCAGTTAGCCTTAATCAAGTGAATTTTTTTTAAGCCAGAACAGTTTAGGAAGAGTTTTAAAATTTACCTTTGAAAATTATTTAAGAAGAAAATTTTAAATAAAGAAAAATTGGGATTAATTCATGAAATAATGTTGGAACATGCTAAGTACATAATTTTGAGGCTTTTATCTTTCGTTGTAGCTGAATCTATGAACGATATGCCTTCAGTTCCTGTCTTGAATGCTGCCAAAACAAACATTGTGGACGGTTCGTGTAGTTCTGACTTCACTTCAAGGTAGATTCCAGAGTGACTTTATTTTCACTATTTCCATTCTACTTGCTAATGAAATAAAAATAAAATTTTGTTACTTTTTAAAATTTCAGTTGCACTTTGAAATAAGTTTTAATTAACTTACGGAATTATAGCCTGTTTTAACTTAAATGTAATTGAAATTTACGCAGAAATGAGTGTTTCTTAAATAGGTTTTTATGAATCACACTGAAAAGTGGGAGAATACATTCTGAGTTCAGATAACCAGCTTAAAACCATACTTTCGCTGTAGAACTTGTTTATAATTGAGAACTGCTTAAATGTAGGCAACCTTTAGGCCTCAGGGGGAAATTTTAAAATTCTGTTTGTATTTAAAACTTTTTAATGATTTTTTAAAATCTTTGACATTAATTTTCTCTCTTGTTTTCTTTGCTGGTTACTATAGCTAATCAAAGATCACAATAAAATGTTTACTGTAATACTGAATCTTTATATGCAATGTTTTAGTTTTCAATATCAGGAACTGAATTCAAAGCAAAGTAAAAATTTACTATCAGGATAATCCTGATTTCTGACCCAAACATGTGGTAAAGACATTAGTTTGTTTAAAAATGTTTTTCAGCAGATCCTATAAGTAGCTTTTTATGTGTATTTATCAGAACCTAACATTTATATTGACTTTGGACTCCCTAATTTATCTGATTTTTTAAAGTTTTAAATCGATGTATTTTGTGGTGTTTTAGAAATTCGAGCAAATCCATTAAAATACATTTTAAAAATGATGAGTAAGACATTGAAAATACTTTATGAATTCTTGGCTTAATGTAAAAATATGAGCTTGTACTGAGCTGTCACCCACTGCTCACACACTCTCTCAAGTGGGTGTAAATGAGTGTGAAACTGGGACCTTGACAGAACCCTCAGAACACCCTCATCCCTTTGTGAGGGCTTCTTACCTCTGAACTGGCTGATGTCTGTGAAGTACTTCCTACAAATTAAGAAAGCATTTTCCTTCCCTTACCCTCTGATTTACTACTATGAATTGTCTTACTACTTCCATTAAGTTTTCTATTCTGTAACTATGCCTGAGATTTTCCAGGAAGAGGTTAAGATATTGCTGATCTAGGAGCTTCTGCATGTTTTTTCCCATGGGAAACATTTTTCTACGTGTTCATTTCCTCATTGTTTTCCTGGGTTGGTTACATAGTGACATTTCCTTTCTTTGAAAATTTAGAAGGCGTTCAGTATTCTAGGTTCTAACTCTTGTACTATTAAATCTTTAAAATCTTTATGGGGTGCCTGGGTGGCTCAGTCAGTTGAGCATCTGACTTCGGCTTAGGTCATGATCTCACGGTTTGTGAGTTTGAGCCCCGTGTCAGGCTTCATACTGACGGCACCAAAGCCTGCTTGGGATTCATTCACTCATATTCTCTCTCTCTCTCTCTCTCTCTCTCTCTCTCTCTCTCTTCCTCTCTCCCTGCCCCTTTCCTTCTCTCTCTCTCTCAAAAAAAAAACATTAAAAAAATAAAATCTCTAAAACTTTCCACTTCAAGACTCGATTACCCCATAATTATTATTTCTAGGAATCTGAGTTGGACACTTTTCACATTTCTGACCCTGGAAAATGTCTTAAGACCCTCTGGAAAACTCTCTTTTCTGTTTCTCGGATAAGCTGAGTGGCTACCCTTACTCATTTTCCCTACAGATGGATGTCTAAATTCTTTTCCTTGAAGAGATACTGTGTAGCTGTCAGTCTAGGATCCTAGTAATCCTGTCAAAGTCTCCATGTGGTTCACTGGAGTTCTCCCATTGTAGAATTTTTCAGGAAGGAGGGACACCTGGGTGGCTCGGTTGGTTGTGTTTGACTCTTGATTTCAGCTCAGGTCATGATCCCAGAGTCGTGGCATAGAACCCCATGTTGCTTAAGATTCTCTCTCTCTCTCTCTCTCTCTCTCTCTCTCTCTCTCTCTCTCATTCACTCACTCACTCACTCACTCACTCACTCACTCTGCCCCCTCCCCTGCCTGTACGCTTGCTCACTGTCTCTCTAAAAAAAATAAAAATAAACCGCTTTTCAGGAAGGAGTCAAGTTTCAACACTTTCTGATAATAATGCAGTCACATGTACAAACAGGATTGCCTCTAAATAATGAAGTTATGAGGGGAAAAAAAAAAAACAAACGAAGACGGAAAAAGCAAAAGACATTTGTAGCAGCTACTCCACACACTTGGCTACTAAGTTGCTCAGCAGTTACACCAGACCAAAAGTCTCTATGCAGATGTGGAAGTGAAACAATTAATAGGAATTTAAAACGCTTTAGCCATTATTTGGAGAAGAAGAGAGTGAATATATTTTAATTACCAACTTGTATATTCAGGATTAGCCTCCCGTCATAGATGTAAGGGAGAGTAGAAACTGGGTGATTTTACAGGCAGGGTTAACAAACAAACACGACGGGGCAATTGAGTATTCCCTGATAGTCCCTAACAAACGATCACAGACAAAACTGAGAGAAAATATGGTCTGCAGTTCAGGGAGGAAAGGCACAGGGAAGCAGATAAACATCTGCTTTGGAGAGAACAAAGGCACGCAAGTTCATCAGGTCTTGTTGCCTTTAGTGAGCTTTTTTTTGCTCACTGATTGAGCATTCATTGTTGTTTACTTTTGAACTTTTTGGTTGACTAGTGCATCTTCTTAGTTTACAATAGCCAAAAGATAATGTGATTTGAGGGATCTACAGAGTCACTACATACAACCTGTTCCCCCAATTTATTCTCAACTCATTGGGGGTGGGGATGCTTAACTTGTGCACTTGACTACATGGTAGGCTACGACACACTTGAAACTTGGAGAAAAATTTAGGCCAAATGTCATTATTAATTGGAGAACTAGACTACCTAATCCCCTGTGTTAGTTTGAATAGGGTGGAATTAAATAGGAAGAAATAACAGGAAAGCTTCATATCTTTATAGGAATTGAAGTCTTCAAGGTGCAGCTCGCGATATTGATTTTGATATAATTGTTAGAGATGTACAGACAGAGGTATGTGAGCAGGGAGGCTTCCAGGATCTTTTGCAAGGGTTTTTATTACACTTGTATTTTCAAGAGATTTAAATTTGACCAAGATATTTCAAACTGATGGATGACTTTCATTTAACTTCTTCATTTCTTGGTTTTTCTATTTGTAAAATGAAAATAATATGCCATATTTCACCTCACAAGGACACTGAGGTGTGTATGAAAATATTTCAGGCTCTTTGACTAAAAGACATAAAATATAGATACATATATGCACTGCTACTTTGGTTTAAACAATATATTGCTTTCTTAATTTTTTTTATTTAGGATAAAGAATCAGAGGTGATAATGTTTCTAATTTCAGCCATTTTATGCAAAGTTTATATAAAAGAACTAAAACATGTTAAAACATTTTTAATTTATTTTACATTGCAGTGGGGAAGGAGCTGCATTTACACACTCTCATCATCATTTGCCTTCTAGACATTCACACCCCCAAGCTCATTCTTCAGCCTCAGGTAATATTTTTGAAAAAGCCTTGGTTAACTGGGAAATGATTGAGAATAAATGTAAATAAAAATATCCAGTCTTTTTTTTTTTTTT